TTACGTCCTGCTTCGGGGAAAATGACATCAACGCCTTTGGATACCTTTACTCTGTGGGTAGTGTGTGTACCAATAATCATGTTCCAAAGTTGACTCTATCCTGATACCTGCTGGGCAGAGGAACCGTCGGGTTTGGTACTTCTTGTTTTTTCCCTATTTCTGAAATTACGAGTAATTGTCTTTTGTTTCTTATGTAAATATTTATGAGCAACAATCATTTTCAAATGCATATATAAAAAATAAATCATTGGACGTTCTTGCAAAACAAAACAGAAAAAGAAAAAGAAATTGAAGTTTTTTTGTGAAAATGACTTGTATTGATTTTGAAATTGCCCTGTAATAGGCGTTTTGTACATGGAGGCTGACTTCCTAGTAAGAGAACGCCGCCGAAAGATAGAAATTATACAATTTGTGTAAAGGAAAGAAAAACGGCTATGTGAAACGACCCCATTGGGTTCCAACTCTGTTATTGCCTTTATATCTTCAAGCGTCTCATCACTTTGATACTTGGCCAAAGGTTGATCAGATTGATTGGCACCGTCCGAGCTTGATAGTCGATACCGAAGTTTGGTTGCAAGATGATCCAATGAGACATAGTGATACGCTTCAATCCCTAACTTTTTCCTGGATTGCCCTTTCGGGTTTTCAATCCACCGGGATACCCTTTTTTGCCCAAGCCTCCCTTTCGGGTTTTCGACTTATCGGGTGTATAGATTTTTCATTTTCATCCCTTACTTTTTCCCGAAACCTTTTGGTTCGCCGGGAAGCCCTTATTTTTGCCTAGGTCATTCGACCTAGCGGGTCTTTGATCATGCGTAGTATCTCTTCACTATGTCTGCATTGACAGGGTGAGGAAGTTCATCACCATCCATGTTGGTTAGAATCATAGCTTCTCCCGAGAAAATGTTCTTAACCACAAACGACCCTTCGTATGTGGGAGTGCATTTGCCCCTGGGATCACCTTGCGGCAGTATGATGCGTTTGATCACCAGATCCGCGACTTGATATTCTTGACGGCTGACTTGTTTGTTAAAAGCCTTGATCATTCGCTTTTGATACGTCTGATCATGGCATATAGCAGTAAGTCTCTTTTCATCGATTAGATTTAACTGATCAAGTCGGGTTTGGATCCAGTCATCTTTGTCTAAACCTGCATCCTTTATAATCCTGAGAGAGGGTATCTGGACTTCTATGGGTAGGACTTCCTCCATGCCATATACCAGAGAGTAGGGGGTTTCCCCTGTCGACGTATGTGCTGAGGTACAGTACCTATAAAAAGCAAATGGTAACATCTCATGCTAGTCTTTGTATGTCACCGTCATCTTCTGTATAATCTTCTTGATATTCTTGTTATTGAACTATTTGCAGAGCTTGATGAACATTGTGTTATTGAGATTTGTACCTTTGTCAGTAATAATCCTCTCTGGTACACTATATCGACAAATCAGATTGTGTCGGATAAACCGTGCCACGACGTTCTTGGTCCCAGTAGCAAAAGAGGTTGCCTCAACCCACTTTGTAAAGTAATCAATGGCTACTAAGATGAAATAATGCCCGTTAGATGCAGTAGGTCTAATATGCCAGAAAAGCGCGCGAGATTCAAATCAGTCAGTCATGGGCTGCCACGAATCATCTTCTTCGCTGCAATCATCGTTTTAGGGGAAATACTTATACCTACAGACATTTTCCATAGCTATAAACCTGCAAGCTTTAAAAATTCACCACACACATGATAAATTAATTCTAGCTATACCAATCAATTGGATTTGATATCTTGAACACAGTGGTATCCATCTTTTGGCCTAATTTCACCCTTACTGAAAAGCCCCAAAGTGGACCTTAAAACCCTAACCATGGCAATCGTCCATACCTGCGCTTAAACTCCAATTAAAGGGTACATGTAGTTTGCAAACAAGGTGATAAATAAAAATATATGATTAGGATATGTTTAGGATGCGTAAAACATTGAAATCGAATTTGAGTTTTTGGTACAAATCGTGATACCTTCAGGGGGAATTTCTGGATGTTTTGATGCTTGCAATTGATCGTGTTAGCTTCAGGAGAGGTCTAGGAATCGTTTGGAAGCTTTGGAATGGTGTGAATTGCACTCAATCCCAGAATTTGAACCTAACTTTTTTGTCAAAAAATTTGAGTTTGCTTTTGCCTTTTCACGACTGCAACCCTTGTGCCTTTGATCTGCAATTGTTATTCACTTATAGTAGACTGAATTAGGTCAATAAAATTGGCATGAATCTTGAGAAATAATGGAAATTGGATTTGATTTTCTCTTGTATGATATATTTCTAAAACAAGCTTCAATCCAATCTTTTTCAATCCAAATCCACTTTGCACGAATTGGATGGCATGTTAGCTGTACATGGACTCAACATGTGCATAAAAAATCAAGGATTTGATTTGATTTCATTATTTTACTATTTTATATTGATTTGTTTTGATTTAAATGAAATAAAATCAAAATAAATAATAAAAATAATAGAATAATAGGTGGAAAGGCTCAGGGGTCTTGGGTCCTATTAGAAACATGTTTCAAACAAGAAAACATGGGCCCCTTTGGAAAAAATGAAAATTTGATCAATGTTGATTTTTGACAATTTTCCAAAAATTTCCAACTTTGACAATGCATATCTCTCTCAATATTTACCCTAGGATGGTGTTCTTTGACTTTTTAGAAAGCTTAGGATGTCCCCTAACCAACCCTTTTGGTTTCATTTCAATTGGGTCTTCCATGTTCATGTAAGAAGCTTTGACCCAAAAGGTGTTTTTGTTGACTTTTCAAAAGAACCTATAATATAGAAATTCATATCTTTTGATGAGTGCATATTTTGAACTTGTGGGCTGAAGATGAATTGTAGGGAATTGCATCCTCTTCAAAATGAGCCTTGGATGGAAAATTTCTGATAAAGTATGATGAGGTTATGCTTGGTCAAAGTTGGGTTGACTTTTCCTACAAAACCCTAATTTAGCAACTTTTGGGTTTTCATGAATTTGGAGCATTCCTTGAGGAATCATGATCAATCCTTGATCAAATGATGGAAGTCACTTCAAAATGTTGATGTTGACCAGAAATCTTGAGGTTTGACTGTATGTGGGTCACAGTTGACTTTTAACCTAATATAGTCGATTCTCAAGCATTTGAGCAGTTGACTGAGCAAACTTCTTTGTGGAAGGCATGAAACTTGACATGGATGATCTTAGGAACATATTAGGACCTTGGGAAGAATTTGATTCCTTTGTGGTTCACACATCTTGATGAAAATGAAAACCCTAATTTGAGGTATACTGCCTTAGGAGAGAGTTTGTCTGGTCAACTCTTGGACTTCCTTGAGCAACTTCGAGACCTCTATTGACATTGGTTGAGTAAAATGGGAGGACAAATTTTGGGGTAAAACAGCAACGATATAAAGTAAAATCCAAATAGATTTGAGCATTGCATTTATTAAAATGGTTCATCATAGTCAACACCATGAATTTGATTATCGCCCTTAGAAAATAGTCGGGCCTTAAAGGTATGAACCTTACCATCCATCCCTGTTTATTTTTCAAAAACACACTTACATTCTATAGGATTAACACCTTCAAGAGACTCTACTAAGGTCAAAACCTAATTTGTGTACATGGAATCCATTTAAAATTTCATGGCATCTAGCCGCTTCTTAGACTCATGAGCAATGATGTTCTCTTGGTAGGTCACATTCTCATTTTGATCCATGAGAAATACATCACATTGATCAATCATGAGAATGTCATCTACATTCCTCCCACCAATTTCTTTAAAAACAAATTCATTTTCTAAGAATACTCCAGTTTGAGCGACAAACACTTTTCTCTCAAAAGGATTGTAGAAGTAACACCCTCTTGTTTCTTTAGGATACCCCACAAAGAAAAATTCATCAGATTTAGACTCAAGATTAGTTTAAGTTTATCATTTCACATGAACTTCCCATTCCAGATCTTCACGTAAGACATGTGTGGTATTTTATCACTCAATGTCTCATATTGTATCTTCTAAAACTTTTGTATGGAACATGGTTATGTGTGTATGCTGATGTCAATAGAGCATGTCTCCAATAGGAGTTTGGAAGATCGGTGAGACTTATCATGGATCCGACCATGTTTAACAAGGTTTGGTTACTTTTTTCACATACACCATTACATTATCGTGTTCTAGTAGGCGTAAGTTGGGATAGACTCCCGCACTCTTTAATATGATCATTAAATTCTATGCATAAATATTCAGTAATTCGATCTAATCTAAAGGTTTTAATATTCTTTCATAGTTGATTTTGTATTTTATTTTTGAATTTTTTAAACTTTTCAAAAGATTCAAATTTGTCTGTCATTAAAAATGTTCTGTTTAGCGTGTTTAATGGTCCTCATTTATCAATATGTATAAAGGACAAAAGAACTTATCTCTAATTTTACCTTTTTTCCTATAAATGGAGACTGAAATTTTATTCTATCAATGACAACATGTTAGAAAAAATGTTTTCCAACATGTATGAGAATTAGTATGCATAAATGGATGGATAATTGCATAAGTAACACGAGAATCATTAATCCGATTCAGTGCAAATTGGTTGGAAGTGTAACTTATTTGAGCTCTCTTAGTTCAACGCCATTTTTTCTTAATATTAAATGTGAATTGCAATCCAAACTCTTTTAAATATGAGATCCTTCTCATTTTATCTTAGACACTTCTCAAATGTTTGAAGAATTATAAAAGTATATGAATATGAAACAAAATACAACTTAAATACTTATTCTCCTTATATAAAAATATGACCCATAAAGAGAGTATTCAACTAGAAATAAACAAAGAATCATTGCATAAAAGTACTACTATAAACTAAAACAAAACATATATCCTTTTATTGATATGCATCATATAATTTAAGACACACTCTTCAACCAACACATATATACAAACGGAAGAACAACCTAAGCCAATATGCATACGCAACAACAACATTATAGAAACATCACACTTTTCGAGCGGCCCTTGACTTGGAAAGATGAGCATCAACATCTTTAGTGCATTTGCTAAGGTAGTTCATCCATCCATTTGGAGGATCAATATCCTCGTTGATTTTCTCATATTCCACAGTCCATTTAGCAACAGCAGTGCCATCAGGCTTATCAATTACTTGAAGGATGAGCTTAAAGTTCTTATAGTGCTTATTAATATCTCCACCAAACAGCTTCCATGTGCTCTTTTTGTTCTGTTTATCAACTTCTTCAAAACTCTCATAACATGTGTGTACTTCACCATCTGTGTTTATGCCACGGATAATTAACACCAAGAAAAATAACAAAGTTTTATACAAGAATTAATGAATTAGAAGCATAGTTACCTATGACATAGGTCCAGTGTTTAACTGTATCAGTGTCATGCCAATCTTCACCTTCATGCAGTTTGGTATGATGAACTCTTTCACAATGGTTTTGCATTTCGTGAAGTTGTGTTACAAAGTAGTTGAAGAATTTGTCAGCGGATGCTTTGATCCCAAGCTCAGTACTAAGTTTACCTAAAAGCACCATTTTTGAAAAGAAAAAAAAGAAACAAGAAACAAAGGTTGATGTGAGGAACGTGTATTCAACCCAATGCCTTAAATAGAAGATATCGGATTACTATATCTTCGGTCATCAATTTAAAAGACATGTTTTTGGTTTGATCAATTTGAATTAATGTTGGATGTTCATATGGAACAAAACCCTAAGCTGACCATTGTACACGTGCTATCCAACCCATGTTACAGGTGCTAGTTAGTTCTCAAAGTTGTGCCATTTCATATAACCTATTGCATCGTCTATGATTTTTATTTTTTTATATTTAACGAATAATTTCAATTTTTATGTATTAACTAATTATAAAAGTACATCCAATATATTGTAGCGGGTTCTAAAGATAAGATATTCAAAAACTTAAGTGTTCACCACTTGTTTATATATATATATATATATATATATATATATATATATATATATATATATATATATATATATATATATATATATATATATATATATATATATATATATATATATATATATATATATATATATATATATATATATATATATATATAATTTCAAGGTGGAACTTGAAATACATAATATCCAAAGAATGATATCTTGTGGTGTAGAGGCAAGAGCTTCTTGAGTGTCTGAATTAGGAAGATCAAGAAGATTAGCTCTCCAACACTCAAGTCAAATAATATCGTAGAGAAGTGATTTGGAAATGTGAGTGAGATAGTATTTGAAATGGTGCGTCATTGGGCGTATTTATGGTAAACGATTATAATTGCTTTCGTCTAATCCAACGTGAGATGTGGGGAGTTCTCTAATAAGATCCAACGATCAGAATTGAGCCTTTATATTTGGGCGCATGGTCGTTCCGAAATAATTTATCCCTTTAACTTTTTAATATATCTCATATATCAATGATTGATATTGAGGGGGTGCCCTTTGATAACGTTGTGTTCTTCAAGGGTTAGCTTTGGGTTCACAAAATATCGAGGAAGTGGGAAAGTCCAATCAGTTGGAGTATGTGTCGTCGAGAGCATACGCATTAAATGCTTGTATAGTCATTGAAACGTTTCACACTACTACCTCTACACGTGGCTTTGAGCCTCTAGGGTAGGGAGTGACATTTCGATTTAGGGAACTTAAGTGCACTCAAGTACTGTTGTGACCTCAAATTCGATCTTCAACATTGATATTGCCTCTTGAACTTTTCTTTATTTTGGACGTAAGATTCGCCATCTCCACCTTTTTATGTAAATTTGTTTGCTTTCCATGAATTATTTTTCCCTTTTGTTCAAGCGCTCTTATACTTTTTACCAAGTTATTGTTTAACATCAACCCTTTCTCTCTTGCCACCAAGTGAAATCAAATTGACTGAATGTAGGACTATAAATCATCATTGAAATTAGGGTTAAAATCAAAACTCTGAGCCTATTTCTCTTGTTTCATAAACCGTGAACCCGACTGTTGTGAATTCAATGCCAATAACTAAGTATAGAATATAGGGAGGAATAACTAACAAGGAAGAAGAAGAACACAAGAATTGGTTATAACTGCTATTCTTTACTTTCTCTTAGAAAACAAGATTACAAGTTTACAAGAATATCAAATAACCCTCTCACCCTAAATTAGGATTTGCTGTGTTGCAATGATGAGAGACTAGTATGCTATTTATAATAAAACCTAACATACTAACTAATGGGCTTTTTCCACAAGGCCCATTATACAAGCTAACTTAATAAACAAGCTAACTTAACAAATTAGGGTTTAAACACTAAAACCTAATTTAATAAGCATCTTCGACAAATACATGCTAGACCCTTTCTTCGACTACAGCATGTACTTCGATCATACTAGAGTTCGATCCAAAATCCCACAAATCTCCACCTTGGACCTAACTCTACAGCATCAAGAGACATTAACTAGCTTTCTTCATGCAGCTTTATCAACTGCATACAGTGGAAAAACTTGCAGCTTGGCAATGTTTTGGTGATCATATCAGCGGCATTGTGTTCTGTCGAGACCTTCAGCACTTGGACTTCTCCACGCTCGATTACCCCTCTGACGAAATGCAGCCTCACATCTATGTGCTTGGTTCGCTCATGATAGGCTGAGTTCTTCGACAGGTGTATTGCACTTTGACTATCACATTTAACAGTGATACCTTGACCTTGAAGTTTCAGTTCCTTTGCAAAACCTTCAAGCCACAATGCTTCTTTCACAGCTTCAGTTAGGGCAATATATTCTGCTTCAGTAGTTGATAAGGCAACAACCTTTTGAAGAGTTGCTTTCCAACTAATTGCTGTACCAAACATAGTGAAAACATATCCAGAAATAGATTTTCTGGAATCCATACAGCCTGCATAATCAGAGTCAACATAGCCTTCGACTGCTGCTTTACTATCTTCACCCAAGGCTCCACCATAAATTAAGACTCTGTTCAGAGACCCATTTATGTACCTTAGAATCCACTTTAACGCTTGCCAGTGAGCCTTTCCAGGATTCGCCATGTACCTGCTTACAAGACTTACTGCATATGCTATGTCGGGTCTAGTACAGACCATAGCATACATCAAAGAACCAACTATATTAGCATATGGGATGCTGTTCATATAGGTTCTTTCGACATCAGTACTGGGACATTGATCAATGCTCAGCTTGAATTGAGGGTTTGTTGGAGTCACAACAGGCTTTGAATTCGACATACCAAACTTGTCAAGAATCTTTCGTAGGTATGCCTCTTGAGATAAGCATAATTTCGACTGCTTTCTATCTCTTCGAATGTCAATTCCAAGAATCCTAGATGCAGCTCCCAGATCCTTCATGTCGAACTCCTTATTGAGTTCAGCCTTCACCCTCATTACATCTTCGACATTGTTGCTTGCTATCAGAATATCATCAACATAAAGCAACAAAATAACAAATGAGTTTTCAGGTCGAAATCTGGAGTAAACACAGTGGTCGAACTGACTTCTAATGAAACCTATGTGTTCCATGAACTTGTCGAATCTCTTATTCCACTGTCGAGGAGATTGTTTAAGTCCATATAAAGATTTCTTCAGTTTGCACACATAATCTTCTTTCCCCTTTTCGACATACCCTTCAGGTTGCCTCATCAGGATTGTTTCGTCTAAGTCACCATACAAGAACGCAGTCTTCACATCCATTTGTTCCAGTTCAAGGTCGAACTGAGCCACCATGGCAAGCAACATTCGAATGGATCTGTGCTTCACAACAGGGGAAAATACATCATTGAAGTCGACACCTTCTTTCTGAGTGAAACCCCTTGCGACTAATCTTGCCTTGTACCTCTTCGACATTACTCCTTCAATTCCTTCCTTAACTTTGAAAATCCACTTACAGCTGACTAACCTTGCCCCAACAGGTTTCTTGATCAGTTCCCAAGTGTGATTATCATGAAGAGATTTCATCTCATCATGCATGGCCTTTAGCCATTCAGTCTTCATTCGACTCCTTATAGCTTCCTTATAATCTCTAGGTTCTTCGTCTAGAACTTCACTTGCAGAGATTAAGGCATAAGCTACAAGATCTGCATATCCAAGTCTCTGAGGTGGTTTTATGACTCTTCTTTGCCTATCTCTCGACAGTAGGTAGTCATCAACAGTTTCCTCAACATCATCAGAATCTTCTGTTTCTTCTTCGACTTCATCTGGGATACGCATTTCAGCATCAACATGCTCCACCTCAACAGGAATCTCTACCTGTTCCAGCTCTTCGTCAACATCATCAGTTTTCTTGAAAGCCATTTCAGTTTCATTGAAAACTACATCTCGACTGGTGATACACCTCCTGTGACCTGGCTCTAGGCACCATAGCCTATAAGCTTTCACTCCTTCAGGGTATCCCATAAACATGCATTTCAGAGCTCTAGGTTCGACCTTGTCTTGCCTAATGTGAGCATAGGCTACACAGCCAAATACTCTTAGTTTGTCGAGATCTGGTGGATGTCCCGACCAAACTTCTTCGGGTGTCTTCATATCTAACGCTGTCGAAGGACATCTGTTTATCAGATATGCTGCTGTCGAAACAGCCTCAGCCCAAAACACCTTCTTTAATCCAGCACTAGTCAACATGCATCTAACTCTCTCCAAAATAGTTCGATTAAACCTTTCAGCCAAACCATTTTGTTGTGGAGTACCTGCGGTCGTTCTGTGCCTTGCAATACCAGAGGCAACACAAAAACTGTCGAACGCCTCATTGCAAAACTCAAGGCCATTGTCGGTTCTCAACCTCTTTACCTTTCTGCCAGTTTGATTTTCGACAAGAGTCTTCCAACTTTTGAAATTTTCAAAAGTTTCATCCTTAGTCTTCTGGATGAATACCCATAACTTTCTGGAATAGTCATCTACTATGGATAGAAAATACTTTGCTCCTGAATGTGATGGACACCTTGCAGGCCCCCAAAGGTCAGCATGGATGTAATCAAGGGATCCATGTGTTCTTTGTTTGCCTTTGTTGAACTTCATTCTACAGGACTTTCCAAGTACACAGGGTTCACAAAACTTCAGCTTTTCGACTTTATCTCCACCAAGCAGATTTTGTTTCCCTAATTCGACCAGACCCCTTTCACTGACATGGCCCAATCTAATGTGCCAAATTTCTGTCTTCGACAAAGGTTTTGTGGATGCAACATTTGTCGAACCACTTACAACTTCAGCCTCAAGGGTATACAAGCCTTGTTTCTTCACGCCTCTCAAGACTTCCTTCGACCCTTTCATGACTCTCAGGATACTTTTCTCTCCTTGAAACACATATCCTTTCTTGTCGAATTCACCAAGAGAAATCAAATTTCTCTTCAAATCAGGTACATACCTGACTTCAGTCAACAATCTTATTGACTCATCATGGAGCTTGAATCTCACAGATCCAACGCCTGCAATCTTGCAAGCTTTGTTGTTTCCCAACAATACAGATCCACCATCTTGATCACATAAGTCCTCGAACAAGTCTTTGTTTGGAGTCATGTGCCAAGTGCATCCAGAATCCATAATCCA